GCATGCTTGCATCAGATTTCCTTCGGTCTGCTGCTGGACACTTAATGTGTCTCGTCTGTAATGTTGGTCTGCAGACATTTTCCACTTTACCAAACAGCAGTTTCTGATTCTTTTACTGTCAGTCAGGGTCTGATGAGGAGGATGTTGAAGAGAAACCTACAAAGAAGACCAAGAAGGCTGAAGTTAAGTCCAAGGTGAGTCCTGCTCACATCCATACCTGTCAATGCGTGTCTTGCTGAGCAAATAACGTCTGTATGGCAAACTCTACAGTGGCATTAATCACAGCCTTATTTCAGTCTATAGCATCTTGTCTGTTTGCTTCTTAGCTTTGACCGTAGTTTATTAAATGTCAGTGGACTACATTTTTATATTGCATTTCATTAACCTTAAAATGTATTTGCAGTAGTTGTCATCTCAGCCATCACAGTTCAAAGACTTGAAATGTGAAATTTTAAAAGTATGAAATATCGGACACTTGATATTCAAGCCAGAACCCCCACAATATAAGTGAGAAACCCTTCAGGTGATTGGCTGCCTGAGCACTTAGTGAGAAAGAAGAATTCCCTTATTAAAAGGAGGAGATATAAACAGAAAATCTCATCTTTTCACACTGTTGTCATATCTCCCTTTGTATGATCTGTGAGCTTCTGTACTGATATATTGTTAAAACAGAGTTTCTTGGCAGCAACCATGAACCATTACAAACATTAAGAGGTGCAACACCTAGAACCAAACAAATACCAGTCAGTTTCTATTTTAAAGTCTTAGAGTCACTGGAACACGAAGAAGTTGGACAACAGCCACCTGTTGGATAATGATGGAGTTGGTGTGCTTTTTCTCTAATGATGGGTTTTCATTCTGTCCACGTAGAAAGAAAAAAGTGCTCAGAGACCACGTAGCATGGATGAAGATGTGGAAGAGGAGGGTAGTGACATAGGTGACACCACAATGGTAAGTCTTTCTCTAAGAGTGTTGTCCTGTCTTCTCTGCTTTGCTCAGTGAATAAACCTTTTCTGACTATTACCCTCAGAGTGCAGAGGATGTCATCGCAGAGCAGGCCAAGAAGCCAGAAGATGACCTGTATGCTAATCTCACCAAAAAGGAGAAGAAGAAGAAGAAAAAACAGGTAATTACTCTCCATGCTGTTGTGTCAGAATGTTAAGAGAACTACCAAACCTATGAAAATAGCTGAGTCTTATTTAAAAATGAAAAGCAGTTAAAACTGGCATGAAAGTAAATGGCTGTATACTCGGTCATCGATCCGTCTGTCGACCTCCCGCTCCCTTCTCCCGTCACTCGTGAACAAGACCCCGAGTTACTTAAACTCCTCCACTTGGGGCAGGGTCTCGTCCCTGAAAGGGTGGAGTGCCCAAGTGGGCCGTTCCAAGGCGAGCTGGAGGCCATCAGCTGATGAAGCCAACAGGACCACACCCAGAATGAGATGTCACTAAGTTCATATGCGTGTGAAGGCCTATATAGTGCAACTGCCTTTCAGAGTCAAAGCCTTCATCGTCACTGTTTATGCTGTCAGTGTGAAATGAAAACATAAGAGCAGCCCTGCAGGATCGTACACATTTTTGTAGGCACCATAGGCTGCTATGGCATCACTGTGGGTTCATGGGTATAATCTCTGTGGTTCTGATGTAATTAGCATATTTTGTGCCTTGCGGTTGTTCTCATTTGTGTGGTTGTGCGTCCATGTGTGCGCCGTTCCTTTCAGATGGAGTATGAGCGTCAGGTGGCCAGTGTCCGTGCTCAGAATGCACTGGAAGGAGATTTCTCCATTTCCCAGGCTGAGATGTCTTCCAGACAGGCCATGCTGGAGAACGCCTCTGATATCAAGGTTATTGTAGCTTTCTTGACACTTGCAGTGTTCTGCGACTACTGCCTCAAATTCTGTCCTATAAAGTTCTTTGAAAAACTAAGTACACCCCATGATTTAATAGCTTGTCAAAGCACCTTCCCTGAAAGTCCCTCCAAACAAGCCACGTGTGTCTTTTTCCTCATTGTGCTATCATGAACTTTAATATTTCACATGCTAACTCAGGCCTGTGAAGTCTGAGATGTAACTGCTGACCTTGGGCTGAATCTGC